GACGCTTCAATGCGAGCTATAGTCTAAACGCCTAGTATCCTCGTAAACAACCCTTTAATACTCCACTAGATAATTCCCTCTATAACCCCCTTTACGGAGTTTAGACTATAGCTCCTGTTGTTTCTGTAAGACGCTTCAATGTAATGGAGCTACATAAAGGAACCGAGAAGCGGGCTGATTGAGCAAATATTTTGTTAAGCCGGGATATTCTTTTTGTGCCAAGTAGCTGAATATACCTAAGAATGCATGACTGGGATTATAAGTTCAAACACATTTTTCAATGAGGAATTTCTAAGGGAGCATGGATCACCTTGATTGGCTAGGCTTATTGTGGCTCACCTTTGTCTCGTATATGTAAAGGGCTTCACATACAAGAAAGTACCAAGAAAATCCATTTCAAATTAAGTGTCTCCTTGAAATCCTGGAGCTTAACTGTTTTATTCGCTTGCTATAGAAGGTTCTATATATTTCGGAAAACGAGGATCTTGTGAATCCCCAAGACTTTTTGTATCAGCTTCTGATAAGGGAATCTGTATTCAACGAGATTAATAAGAAACTCTAATGAAAATCAGGGATCTTCTTGCTTTCTGTTTTTGATTCTTGGCTTGAGGTCTGTCTGAAAGGATTTGTAAAAAAGGAAATTACAGAAAATCTGATTACAGACTTCAGTGATTTCCTAGCTCCTCACTCTAAATGTGTACTCAACAGGCACAAAACCATGGTTAGCTCAGGGTAGCATGTATACATACATACATACATACATACATACACGCATGTAATGTTGGGGGGGTCTAGGTTCGTAGTAGGGCAAACTTTTAGCTGAACGGATTAATAATAGCGGGTACGGAATAGAGCGAACTTTTAGCTAAATTGAGATCCCGGAATGATCCCCGGCAATGGAAAGTTAATTGACAGAGCCCGAGCCCCCCGCCCTCACACAAGGTTGCCGAAATTTGATTGGGCGACCCGGACTATTTACACTCCTCCCTCTACTTGTTTGGGGGAGGGGGGTTAATGATCAGAACCCCCCCCCTTATGCACATGTTTATTTCCACAATGCAGCATTAGAACTAAGAGTCGTTGTTGAGAAGGGTTACGTGAATGGCCCTACACGGCCCAGAAACCTCCCCAGAATACTCCTTCGAATCCCGAGAGCGGCCCGGCCAGGAACAAGACACACACTGGGCAGCGAGCCTTATTGCCCCGAAGCTGACGTTATAGTCCCCTTCACTAGGTAGAATATGGCTTTGGCTATATTATAATAAGATCCCTATATACCCCATATTCTATCTACCTAAGCGGGACTATAACTGGGCTACCAGATTTCTAAGTAGCTCCCAAGCCCATCTCAGCCATCCGAGGTGCCCGGAGGCAGATAAAATCGCTCCCTGTGGCGCCTGGGTAACTTGGACCCTTGGGGCTTGAGTTGAAAGGTCTGAGGGCTTACCTTTGAGTAAATTTAGGGTTTAGGGTTTAGGGTGTTCTCCGGGAGTTGAAGGCTCTAGGGTGTGGGCCTTTTGGCTACTTTCTTGGAGGATCTTAAGCTGATCGCCGGTACACTGCACATCGAGGACCACTATCTCCGCCTAAGCTTTCAGCCAGCAACAATCCGGACCTATTCTGGCACCCACGTTTGGTAGTTTCCCGAAATAAGGGAACCCCAATAACCCTAAACCCTAAACCTATAATATAGACCCCGACACATTTGCAGCAAGCCAAAAAAGGCCGAGCTTCCCATCCACTGGCTGGCACGCGCCCCGACGATCATTCGGTGAGCAGTCCACAATCCCAGCCTCCTGGTATCACGGCTTTAGGGTTAGGGTTCGGCTAATTTAGAGTTTTGGGACTTGGGGTTCGGGGTTTAGGGCTTCAGGTTTTTTGTTTTTTTACCCCGAGGACTTTTACGTCTGCATGAAATGCACGGGGCTTCAGGTTTAGGAGTCAGGGTTTGGGATGTAGATACCTTACCAAACGCTACAACGTCGCTTTGCAGGGGCTATATATACTGGGAGGGACAATACGTGTAGATATAGGGTTACAGGACTTTGCGTGGTTTCGTTATAGATGATACTTCAAAACCAAACTGTAGATAAGATGTAGGGAGTACGCATAGGGGCCTTTTTGTGTGCCCCTAAAATGATGTGGTCCTTCTTACTTGCCGCCAGAGGTGGACTTTCAGACATTCTCAATGTTCTGCGAGTCGTCCAAGCTTCGCAATAATGGCTTTAGGGTGCTTACAGTCTCGCGGTATGGGGAGATGGGTGCTCTGTTACAAGCTTGTATTATAAGGACTGCTACAGGGACCCCTTGCTCCCTACTTCAGGGATGGCGGTCCTGCAGAAGGCGTGAGAAGTCTTACAGCCATATTCTGGGTTGCTGTCAAGGAACTTAAACCAAGTTACCATAATATGGGTATACAGTAAATAATGGAACTTCCTTATTATGATAACATAATTTGAATTCCTTGGCAACCCAATATTTCCAACCTCACCATCTGTTTCTCAGGACACCCAACTTGCAGCAGGCTCCGGGAAACATGAAGCGGAAAAACTTACTGGGTGTTAGTAGGGAATAAGGGAGTATAGTATATAGGGGTTATGTGAGCTACGGTCTTAACTCCTAGTATCCCCCTTAATAACCCTTATCGTAGTACCCTATACAATCCCCTTGTATGAATCCCCTTTAAGGAATTCAGATTATGGCTCATATAGGGATTTTATTCCCTTACTCCCCACTAACAACCAGTAAGAAAATGGAGCCTCCCTGCCTGCCACAACTTGAGCTGGGCATGGCCGCTGAAGTCAGTGCTCAGGGATATGAAATAATTGAGGGTTTAGGGTTTGGGGGAGTCTCAACAAAAACGTGATCCCAATGTAGACCCCAATTTTCTTAACAAAAGGTACACCGCAAACCCCCAATGACGAGAGAAACGCTGGATTGGCAAAGATCCGGATCACAACGCCGGCCTTCAGGACCACATTAATTCACATCAAAGTGTGGGAGGAGCTCGGGGGTGTTGGTCAATCTAAATGAGCACATGACAAGCCCCTGATTACCCCCTAAACCCCAAACCCTTCCGTTTTTTCCTTGAATACCTAAGCCCTAAATCCTAAACCCTTAACCGAACCCCGCGCAACGGAAGGAGTTCAATGGAAGATCCATGCGGGGTTTATGTTATCTAGCGTGAAAGGTAGAGAAACTACTGCATGCTGGAGTGTATTTTGCATGCAGGGGTTCTGTGTTCAAGCAACGGAGGGTGATGACTACGCGGATCTTCACATTTTGGGAATGAAAATGTGCAACAACCAGTGGTTTTGGCAGACTGCGAATGAGAAGTGTCATGTCGCACATGCATTTCGTGCGACGGTGCCTGGCCAGATTTGGACCCTGTTCAAAAGCACTGGTGTGGGACACGGAGCACAGCGGTGATAGTCAGCCTTTTTTCTGTGTTGACATCATCAGAAGCTGTATATGACATGCATTTTGTCCCACTACGCGCGGTGTTTTTGCGTCAGGGTTCTCGGAAAGGACATAGACTTCGTCCCACTGGGCGCAGTGTATCTGGTTCTTGGATGCACTTGTAACACAAATGCTTATGGCTTGGGCAGGTCTAGTAATGGGATGCTCTCGAACATGGACGCCATTATTGTTTCGGCATGGATATTCTGGTAATGGGATGCTCTCGAACATGACGTCATTATGGTTTGGGCAGGGATGCTTTGGCAATGGGATGTTCTCGAAAATGACTGCTGTGTTTCTGCGTGAGGGTTCCCGAAACACTGCGTTTCACAGGTTGAGATGGCTGTCGCTGAAGCGAACGTAATTATTCTCCACCCCGCCCCCCAGATGTCCAAGCCGAGCAAATTTGACACAGTCGATGAGAGCTGTGGGATACCCCTTGGCGTTGGGCGAACCCTAAACCTTAAACCCGAAGCCCTAAACCCTAAATCCTAAACCCTAAGCCCAACGGGATGGCTCCTCCGGCGTAGGGCGCTCCAGAACCCATTTGTCCAAACAGCCCTGCGGGTCGGAGGTGGATGAAGAGATCTGCTCCTCACCTGCAAACTTCTACCACAAAAAGGGGGTTTAGTATTGTGGTATGTCTGGGGGTCCACGATTTAGGGAAACTACCATATAATCCTTGTGAAGCCCTACTTTCCATGTTATTTTCCATTTTCTGTTCCATTTGATTCTCCATAATTGTCGTAATGTCTCCATATAGTCCCTATGTAGTCCCAGAGTTCTAAAGAGCATGACGCTAATGGTATGTAATAATGAAAAGCAACAGTACCAAGCATAACAGAAGTTGCTAGTTGTAATGACAACAGCCGCATGCGCTAGTCTCCAGTTCTTCATTTCTCCCCCTTTGTTCGGTTAGTGACTGAAGCTCTCATCTGCTACAACACAAGCATGGATTTACACAGCGCCCGCGTTTGGTCTTCAGGCGGGTTTTGTCAAGAAGGGTAGGGTCGCGAATGTTCGACGTTAGTCTGAGGACTGTATACTGATTCAGCCCAATACCCTGAAGTCGACCAACATGCCCTAAGTGAGGACTACTTTTGGCAAATAATCCCAGATTCCATTTCATTTTCCATTTTCTTGTCCATTTGATTCTCCATTGTAGTAGTTTCCAATTTATTTTCCATTATCCCTATATAACCCCAATATGATATAGTAGTTTCCATTTTATTTTCCATTATCCCCATAAATCCCCAATATGATAGTAGTTTCCATTTTATTTTCCATTATCCCCAATATACTTAGGCTATACGAGTGTTCTGAAGCCGCAGCTTTGAAGGAGACGCAAAGGAACCTTCATCAAGCCAATTTGGGGATATCATGGTACCCCAATAATGGAGAATGAAATGGAAAAGAAAATGGAAAATGAAATGGAAACTGGGGTTATATAGGGGTTATATTAGGGATATAGTAATCATAAGGTCTTCCTATGTCTGACTTCATCCCTTCTGAGGCCTAGCGATCGCCAACCCCTATCCACTTCAAGGCAAGCCACAAACGCTGAATTCAAAGTGACCCTTGTGATGGGCAGTGATACGGATTGTGATGGGCACGATGCTTCCAGCCCTCCAGGTCCTGTCCATGGCTTTCGGTGCTTCTGGTTTGGGGTTCGCAGTTCGGGCGATTATGGCTACTCGAAATGGGGGTAGCACATGGAAGCTCACGGATACGTGGGGACTATGATGCTGAGCATCCTGAGTGGAGATTATGCTGAGACTGCTTTGAGAAGTAGTATTATATGAGCTATAGTCTAAACTCCTTAGCGGTTATGTAGGGGACTACTATGAGGGGCTATTAGGGGGGATACTGGGAGTTTAGACTATCGTTCATATGGTGGCAAGCCCCCTGTCTGAGGACGTCCTTCATACTTCCTAGACATCCAGAACACGAATGAGATTTCACAGTGCCCATGGCGGCAGTGGTAAAGACGGGAAGGTCAGCAAGACCAATCCTCCGTACAAACATGAAGGGTTTAGAGTTTAAGATTTGGGGTTCGGGGGTTTGGGGGTTTAGGGGTGTAGGGATTAAGGGGTTTGGGATACCCACAGGTTCAAAGCAAGAGTAGTTTGATCTTCATATCAGCGTGGTGAGGTTGCAAGGAGACCGTTCGGCTAGTGCGCCAACAAACCTTGGACCCAAGTGCAGACCCCAAGCCAGAACTATTTTGTCTCCTTTATATGGGGAAATATTGGGAAAATATTGGGATAACGGGATAATGGAAAATCAAATGGAAACTGCCATATAGGTCTAGGGCATAACATCACAGAAACCTCAAAGCTCTGTAGATCTTATTCCTGCACACTCATACAGCCTACTGGAGGGCCATATTCTAGCAGGGTCAGTACTAAAAATCATGAAAGCCTGCATCTTGAAAGCAGCTCATGCAGCCTCACGGGGTCTGTGCCAGCGTTGAGATAGTTGCCTCGCAGCTGGGAAAGTTTTGAGTGCAGGGTCCAGGCCTTGAACTGCTCTGCAAAATAACTGCAAACAGAAATACCAACCCCCTGATCCCTCCATTCCAGATTGTGACGCCCTGGCACTGATCAGGTTTCAAACTTCTATGCAAAAGAAACTTTTCTGGGATACTCCCAGTAAAGTGCTAAAGTGTGGGAACATACTCGGAGGCATGTGAAATGTCATAACTACTCCTAGCTGGCCTGGTAACTTCACTTGTAGATGGGGTAAGCTTCAAATGGCCAGTAAGCCGTATCGCGAGAAAGGGGGCTTCCGTCAAGTACTTCCTACATCCCATTTGGTTTGCTGTAAGTGACAGTAATAATGATAATAGTAATAATAATAACAATAAGAATAATGGATTCCTTTTCAGGATATTCCCCAGGCCGTAGCTGGTTGGCTCGGTCCTCCGGGCGGTCAACTTGCCCAATACCCTCCCCCAAGCAAACATGAGATCCACAAAGCGCTGTATAAGGGCTAATGACTAAAGTCATTTAAACTGGGGGCCTGTGGGGTTACATGCCAGTCTGGTGGAGAGTACCCTTTTTTAGGCTCCATTTTGGATTCTTTTGAAAGACTTGGTGTGTTGCCTGAAAGATGCGGCTCCTGAAAGCAGCCCAACGCAGGAAACCTCCCTTTTGAAGAAGTTGTTTTTTTGCATCCCAACAGAAATGCAAGGATTACACTACATTGCTCGGGCTGCGCGAGTTGATCTTGTTATTGAGATAAGCCCGCGCAAGAATTTTGCAAGGATTTGAATCAGGTGACCAGAACACGAGGCAACGCCCGAACTTGGTTTCCGCTCGCTCCAGCCCCTTGACTTCACGAACGAACAAGCTATGGGCGAAATCCTAGGGCACAGTTGCGGAGTACCATAGGCCAGAACAAGTCTACACTAACATTATAATTAACAAGATTCTAGCCTACCCGGCTACAGTACTAAGAGGAAAGACACAGAACCCTTGACAATTTGGGGCTCCCACTGTCAGCCGGCCATTGGTTCCCATCCCCGCAAATGCCGTTGCCGTTTCCGCAGTGCGGGCAGTAGCCTCGGGCTACAGAATGTATGAGGAACATGGGGCGGGGATTGGGGTATCGGGGTAAGGTAGAGGGTACAGGGGTATAAGGAATAAGCTATGGAGGGTACGGAGTGCGTAGGGAACTTGCGGGATGCCAGTACGATTGAACAGCACGTACACAGGGACACTATGAGGATGATATGGGGGGCAGGCATATAGAGAGTGTGTAGCGGTTTAGACGGCCTTCTAAGGGAAATTATTACGAGCGCGACGATTTGTTGCAACATGGCGATTTCTCAAAGCAGTGGCTTCCTGGTTTCCCTTACAGCACGGGGCTTAGGGTCAGGGATGGGAAAATAAGGCTTCTCAGATTCCACCTCCGAAGGGATCCTGCAAATTTGGCCGTCAGACACTGGACTTTCTAGAGCGGCCGTTTTCACTGCCGGCACACATCCTTCTCCGACCACCTAAACCCTGAACAAACTGAACTCCAAACCTGCGACTACCATTCCTGGCTCTCTCTCTCTCTCTCTACGAGCTTCTAGGACGCGAGGCCGTTTTTCGGCCCGGATTGGACATTGCGCGCTGGAGGCTCGGACATAAAGCCATGGCCTGCCGGAATGGATTCAGACGTGCTTTTGGGCTGCCTTAAAGGGTTGAGGCTTTTCCTCAGGGTTAGGGTTTGGGTTTTTGGCCGCTTAGGGTCGTAGGGCTTGGTACTTGCTGTGAAGGATTTGGGTTTTCCATCAACAAGGGTTGGGCTTCAAGCATGTGGTCGCAGCTAGGGCTCAGATAGAAACATGCAGAAAGGGTTTAGATGGGCTTAGGGTTTAGGGTTTAGCGTTTAGGGGCAATGTTCCTTGGACTTCCATGCCAAGTTTTAGTAGGACTCTCCAAATTCCAAACCCAGGGCCCGCAGATAAGGATCGCATGTTTACGTTGGGGTTATACAGGGATAATGGAAAAGAAAATGGAAACTACTATAATAGGGTATATGCTGGGGTTATATTGGGATAAGTCGGACTTGAAACAAACCTCTGACATCTACACGAAGTCCTTTACCAACCCCTTGTAAGTATGCAGGTTCCAGAACCTGTCAGTGGTCTGGCAAAGTGTGCCGCAAACTTACCCCGTGGCGGGCGGCCTGGAAGGAAGAGAGTACTAGTCGAATCACGGCTAATCTCAATTTTTCTCAATCCCAAAGATCCGGAGCTCACAAGCCCAAGCCCCCATTGCCTCAAATAGTCAGGAACCACACCCCTGGATCAAAGGTTAAAAATGGGCCTGCCGATTTTGTACACATGATCTAAAGGTACGCCTGAGAATAAGGAGGCCCTCCAGTCGCATCTTCTGGCGGCAATCCTTTAGCCCGAGTTGCCCAAAGCAGAGCGCAGCGTCAAAGACGCTGCAATGAAAACCAAGGCCTGCAGTCAGTGGACAAAGACTGCAGATAATAAAGCCTAGCGCTAAAACCGTTGACAGGATTTGCCAAGCTGTCATATTCTTCCAAACACAGCTTTGAACTTGTCAGGTGGCAGTATTTGACCATCGTGCGTGGAAACTTGCATCGAAAACATACGCGTATCCCCAGCACAAAGTTTTCTACAGTGCCTCAGACAGGACATGAAGGGGAACCCGTTGCAGATTAAATCACTGTCACTCCGAGGCACAAGAGTTTGGCTAAAATCTGGCCCAACAGCCTCACTCGGTGCTACATGTGGGAGACCAGAGCACATTCGAGACTTTACCACCCAAAGCCCTAGTAGGACAGTAGGATCCTCTATCATCACAACTAAGCTGAGGACAAGTAGTACTAGTACGAATACTATGGCGTGATTATGACTACACAACAACCCGACCTTAGTCGCAGCATAGCTTGGTTCCAAATTCTGCAAAACAGTAAGATGATGTTGTGCTGGCTGCTCCGAGACCCGGAGACCTGAACACAATTGCCCTCAGCTTGCAAGCCCTGCAGCTTCTATTTACCTTAGCATTCGCCAGGAAATCCATCCCTTTCTCCTGCGCTCCGTAGTAGGACGCTTCTCACGATAGGGGTCAAAAACAACAAGAGATCCTTATCATGGAGATACATGATTCTGAGAACCCTCCCTCTGGGCCCCCGAGCACAAGAGTTTCGCATGGTAGCCGGATAAGTCGAGGCTTCCCCAGAGCGCGATGATAGCTGCGGATATGCAGTAGAAAGAAGGCCCTGCACCTTCGGAAACCTGCGTGAAGCCCAACATTGGGCGACCTGTCTGTTTAGTGCTCCAACAGGATTTTCATGCAGTTTCCACAGTTGATCAGATCCCCCAAAAGAACATATCAAAGTGCCAAGACCCGAAGGCGGGTGCAAACTGCTTGTCACTAGCCGGAGAACCTTCAAGCCTCTCTACTGACCACATTCAAATGTTACAGTTGGTTGCTGGGCTCAAACTGTACAGCTTCTTCCCATCTATGCCAGAGTGTTGTGAGGATTTCTGACTACATCCTGCACCTCACAGGTATAACTCAAGCGCGAACTCAAATATCACCGTGCTCTTCGATGATGCCCAGCATCCAAGCAGAGGAGCGGCAGACACTGCCGCTTCCAAGGAGAGGTAGATTAATCGAACGTCAACGAGGACAAGCCCTCCCTAAAGCGCATGTCCTGCAGACACGACTTCAACAGCAAAGCATCAACCGTGCTGTTTTTGAAGCGGGGCGAAGCGTCGAATCTCAATCTGTGGATAGGCATGCGGAGTCGATACTGTTTTGGGTCAGTTGTAGGATGGGAAATTCAACTCAGGAAGGAAAAGGTTTTGCGTTTATGCTCTTCTCGGCTACTTGATCGCTTGCACAAGTTTTGCAATTAGTTGGCAGGTAGTCTGCTCCAACGCGTGAAGATGACTGATGTTCCTACTCCTTGAGAGAACAATGTGACTGAAAAACAATCCTGCATGATTCTCCTCGCTGTAGATCAAACCGAAAAAGAACCAAATGCAGGCATGTCACGGGCTGATTCAGAACTCTCATATCTGCCTGTTGCTTCTTGAAGCCTAGCTCGTGCTGAGTGTGGAGTGTATCCTTTGGTAGGGCTGACTGGCAAGGGCTTATAAGCGGCCCCCCACCCCAGGGTTCTACGGCTCTCACTTGGCACCGCTCTTCGTCAGCAAGTCGATGGCATCCTGACGAAATCTTACACGGAAGCCTCAACGGACACACTCCTGAAAATGATCGGACTGACATGATTTTCATCACACAGAATTGGGATCAAAACATGTCGGGTTGGAAGATACACTACGGATTACCCGGAATTCCCCTGGAGCTACGCAAAGCTTGGATAGCCTGGAGCGCATCGCGAAGCGGGAAGGAGTTGGAACTTAAAGATAGCTCTTCGAAAGCGCAACTATCCTCTTTGCCGGTCCCGCTCGTGAGCCTTGTGTTGTGTTGCGAGATATGTCGGGGACCTGGTACGAATATTTACCATCTCTTTCATCAATAACACTACAGACCTGGCGACATTGAACTCTGCATCGGCAGTGCAGCCGATGAACCTTCACATCCCAACTCCCACCTCTTATCAACACTGGCCTCAATACCTGAAACTCTAGAATTCCCATCCCCCAGAGACAATTGCCCCGGAAGCTGTAAGCCTTCGATTCCAGAACACTCTATCTGATTCATGAGAAGCCCGCCTTCATCTTGTTCTTCTGCGCCAGAGCCAATGGTGTCTGGCCTGAGCAGCACCACAACAGACTCCCAAGCAAGGTATTTTGGATGGCGGAAATCTTGCACGACCTCGAACCCCCATAAACCTGTAATTTCCAGGCTAGGAGAAGTATAGGGTGGTTTGAGCTTCCCTCCATCCACGGAATGCTAGTTGCATCTGTTCTCGAAACTACCAGGGACTACAGGCACCTTCCACCCTTACCTTTTGACCCCAGTTGTGACTGCGAGCGACAATGTCGATACCCTGATGCATATGGTAACGTTAGAAGTGACACTTTCCCACATGTTTTTTAAGTGAGAAGATGCTTGTTCCACATGTACATGCCTGGCACGAAGGACCTCTGACTGTTGGGATGAAAAATCTTGTCAACGACTCATGGGAAGCTGCAGCAGGGATCCCAAAACCCTGAAAGACCAAGGTGGGCAGACGTCACCCTTTGCCCACTTAAACAGAAGACCGCAAGCACCCAGGCCCGACCCCAAAAAAAAAAGGGTTTGGGAGCTTAGGGTTTAGGATTTTACGGTTTAGGGTAAGATTAGTGTTCCGGAAGTTGGCTCTAAGAGGAAAAGACACACCCAGGTAAGCGCCCCAGCCCTGCGTGTTCTGCTTGTTGACGTCCCCCTTGGCCTGGATCATGCGCTGCATGCTTCAGGTTTGGGGTTCAGGACAGTTTAACAGTTAACAATTGTTGCAGAGTACACAAACACAACACTGACTTTGGAAGCTGCTTAGTTCAAGTTGATCGTCTCTCTTATACCTAACTCAACCTTTAGCCACGTGATACAGACACCCCTACCAACTGAACGGACCTTTCCCCTAAAAATTGGGTATAATTTCTATTGCCCTCATATACAGACCCAAAGCAAAACGAGAACGAAAAGCTACCCGACAACGACCAGGTGGCACTGATGAAATACTGCAAGAGCTCTTTCCTGCCATAAGCAGCCGCCTGGATCCCAGCCATTGTTTTCTGGAGTGAGCTTGAAAGTCTTAGGGAAGCACATGTTCGCAACGGCTCAGCACCTCATCACAGCACGCATCCTGCCGTACAACCCACTACCGTTGCTACCATGATGTTGGTCCATGTCACGGCTGCCATGTTGACAATAACCCCTGTATTTCAACTTGATACATCCTCCTTCCACTGCTGTCCCAGGTGCGTAGTGGATCGCATTGCCACCACTGTTGTCTACCTCCCATGGATTGGCCTGCTGCGGTCCCAGGACTTTGGAGGTGTGGGACCCCTGTTTACCCTTCTCAAACTAACATGGAATCCCGAAGGGGATTGCTGAGCTTTGAAAGGGGGGTATACGGGTTCCATGCTATCAAGAGGAGGGGAGGGGAGGATTCAGAAGTCAGGCATGGAGGAAACAAGGCCTTGGCTTCGTTCGCGCCAGATGTTTCATGAAAGCTTTATGCTGCTTTGGCTAGCACCCCGCCTGCCAAGCAGAAGGAAGAACTACTCATACTCTAAGTCCTGGTACTTGGAAAGCCCCGCACCCTGTAGCCTAAACGCCTAAGCCCAACATTCTACACTCCAAGCACAAATCGAGCCACCCTGATCGTCCAGCCCGCAATTCTGAACGCTCTACTGTATCTGAGACTTTGGGCCTTGCTCTCAAGGAGCTTTTTCACCACATGGGTGCGGTTGGCCCCGATAGCATAGCCCAGGCAGCTGATGCCTGTTGACGCCGAGGGTTTGAGGGAGGTTGTATGTGGATTATGGGGAATATATAGGGGTTATGCGGGGCTTATATAATTACAATGGAAAAAAAACGAAGCTGCTATTTAGGGTTCAGTGTTCATGGTTGAGGTTGAGGATTTGGGTCTACAGATCTAAGATTTAGGGTTCAGGGCTGAAGCTCCATTTAGGGTAGGCCTCGCCCGCGTAGAGCCATACACCAGCACCAACAACCCTCCGCCGTAGGTATCCAACCCAACATGCAGCACCAACAACCACGACTGTCTCAGAACGCCCCAAGTCGAATGTCGAGTGGCCAGAGATCACAACCAACTTCAATCCTGAGCCGAACCTGCAAGACAGCCCTCAGACCTGAAGTACCCCTACAGCATGGGCGTCCGCAGCCAGTATCTGCCTACAATAGGGATACGATTAAGGGCCTGATGTGGTTTTACTATAGATATCCATAAGTATTATCTAATTGTTTTCTGACTGGGGGCGATATCCTACCTACAGCTGTTGTTGTATGCGATGTCGCCTTTGGCGTCCTTCTCGTCAATGTTCCTCTTGTCCTTCATTGGGTAAAACAATATTTGCAAGGACTCCTTTCTCTGAGCTAACATGTGAAGGCTCCAATTTCTGGAACACCCGGACCATGATTGGCACAGATTGGAACGCACAGCGCTGAAGGCCACCTGATAATTAGAAGGACACAGTTGTTGACTTATGACTTGGACTTCAGGCACATGGGTTGCAAGGACTCGTATAAGGGCTAGACAGGAACTACAGAAGGGATCCATTCCATTGTCCCCTACTAAGCCGCAGTAAGTTAAGATCCAGCGGCCTGCTAGCAAGAGCACTTTGGATGCCGACAAGCACAAGACCAATCAGAACAAGCAGAATCGCAAAAACGAACCGATGACTACTTTTCAGAAAACCATTCATATCCCCTGAAAACCAATTGACCTACAAACATGACAGCAATCTTGGCGATGTCCAGTACGCCACTGCGCCGTCAACCCTGCATGAATAGTGCCCTCTTAAAAAATCACATACCCCGGGCTCTCCGGATCGCTGGCTGTGGCTTCCAAGTAATCCTGCGACTCAGATTCAAGCTGCTTGCAGGGTCTGGGGAGGGGCTAGTCTAGCAGTGCATCTAAGTGGGACCATGGTAAGGATCGCAACAATTATGGATCCACTTCATGTCATGCCTCACGCAGACGACAAGTAGAGGGTGAAGACCAACAAAACGATCCTGTCTCGTGACGACCCTGATCGACAGTCTTCCACTCATGCATGGTCGTCAATGACAGCATCTTTTCTACAAGGCCATTAAAGCCCGAAAAAAACTAAAGTCATGACTGTGGAACATTACAGCTTTTGATTCAGGAGATTCAGAGCTGGTGGCTGTGCTGGGTTAGGGCTCTCTGACATGATGCGATGGCAACAATGAACACAATGACGAGTGGAGGACCACCATTGTTGCTTTAGATCATGCACCCCCCCCCAAGAAAAGAAACAAAAGGCTCCTTTACCACACAGAAACTATGACGAGAGTGGCTGCAAGAGGAGCCTCACAAAAGGCCCAACTCTATAGTCTTGAGGCGCGTCAATACGTCTCACTGAAACCTTTCCTACTCCTGCATACACTCACTTTCTTCTTCCTGGCATACGCATATTACATATAGAATCACGAAAAATGCTGGAACAAAAAAGATGTGACGGAGCTAACCGACTTGCCCCGCTAAGACTGGGGAGACGTATAAACATATTACCTCCTCGGCCGGCACCTCACAGACCCTAAGTCCTGAACTCCCGACCCTAAGCCCCTAAACCCCTAGACACTAATTATATCAGTATGCATGCGAATTTCTGCCTATGCATCCCTACATATCTCCATATATCCCTATATAAGGTTGTATGTACCTACAATCCAAACCGCTGAACCCCGACTCCTCGAGCGTCTTCATGTCGCCGCGGAGGCAGGCTTCCTGCAGAGTGATGGGCTTGTTCTGGATGTCCTGCGCTGGATAAGGACAGTACATGTACATGCAGAATTCGAAATGCAGTCTGATCAACCAGTTTGCATTCTTCGTGTTGCAATGATGAAGAACCTGAACTTGCAACAGGCCGGCGAGGGCTCTTCAAACTTGTAGCCCGGAAGCTTCAAAAAAACAAACCCCAAATATCGATCCCTATGAACATAAACAAAATCAAATCGGATTCACATTTCTCTGTATCAGTCCTGCAGCACCGACTTCACCTCCTCAGGCACTCCACCCATGGCTCTGCCTGTGCGTTTTGGGTGTAAGGCCTAAGACTTAGGCTTCTTGAATGCACGAGTTGGGACTTGACACTCAGACTTGGTCCCTGCAGAGGGCCCTGATCCAACCTGCACCGGTTTCCCCCCACAGTCACCTTATAGCCTACACGGAAGTAAGGAAGCTCCTCCAAGCAATCTTCAAACAATCCTCAGCTCGGAACCCCATAATGAATTTCCTTTTAGCTCCCAGGCTCCGTACTTGCCCTTCATTTCGGGAAATAGCCCCATTTCTCGTTTTAGAAATCTGCAGCCCAGTGACTGATCTTCAGCATCAGCGGCTCGTTGTGGTAGTGCTGCATGGCAGCCTGGTTGCCACCGCGCTTGATGTCCTCCAGCTCATGGATTGAGATGACACTCCGTGAAGAGGATGTTTGCAAGGGCGAAGCGCTTTGCTCCGTGGGCCACCCAACCCCAATACTCCTGCCAGCCTCTACGCAAAATTCGAACGGATTCTGTTATTGCAGATATGGATCTGATCGGTCTGCGAGGTATAAAGAGAACCAACTGTAAGAAACTTTCACATAGCACAGACTGCTGGACCCTGAGAGCCCAGCCAACCGCCCACCCCCTCACCGTCAGAATGGCCGGTGCTTCAAGCATCAAGAAGCAAGTACCATCCCTCAACCCTCAGGGCCCTTCTTCAATCTCACGTTTCAAAGGCTCTACGCTTGATACATGCCAGAACAAGTGCACGAATACTGCCGAAATCCGATTTACGAGCCTCACCCAGGTTCCTCAATATCCTGCTAAGCATCATGAAAAAACTGCTCCAAGCGCAGCCTCGAAGATGGCGGCGACATCCGGATTCTTCTCCAGGGAGTTGAACTTGTTGGTCACCACCTGGAGGGTGACAGAAGAAGTGCGCTACAACCAAGGAGCAGCTTGAATCCAGAAAAATCTGCGGGGTTGAGCGCGGCTGCAAATTTGTAGCAAGGGTTTGAACCAGGAGTCATGCTGTTTAGCGCTCGATATCCATAGCAGGCCGCGGCACAAATCGTAACTGACATAGAAATTGGAAACCAAGGTGATACGGAAAAGGAAACGGCAAATACTATTCTGCCATGACGACCATGAAAATGCAGAATTGCAAGTGGTCGCCGCATATGAAAATCAAACCCGCAAACTTGCCAACCAAGCATTTGCTGCTTCCGTTCAAGATGCTGATGCTGATGTGAGCCATCGCCAGAATTCGAGCCATGATGGAACGACCATTCACAAACCCTTGTCCGGAAGCATGTTGTTGTAAGTCTTGTCCGCGTAAACATGAATCTGTACAAGCCCTTACCCCAGAAGGGAGCACGATCTTTCATTGGACTTCTACAGGTGTAGGCAAGATGAGACATAAACCTGGGATGTCAAATTCTCTGTTGAGCCTCATCGCCGTTGCTGAGGCGTGTGTTGTAGTACTCGGTGATGGCCTGAACAAGCTCAGCACTCAAGAGATTGCAAACTGGATTTGGAGAAGGGGCGATGTTTTACGCCAGGCGGCGATTCACGGTGATCTTTCATCACACAGCCCTGATTGAAGGCCTGCTGCAGTGTAGCCAGCCACAGCTTGCAACAGTTGCTAAAGCCATCTCCCTTCTCTCTCCAAAATCATTAGCTCAACCCGCGATCCAACCGATCGCTCCTTGGCAGGCAGATGCGACAAGAATGAAGAAAAATCCGACATACGCACCATGCCAATGCTATCGATACAGACATAGCAGTTCTACGCACTCTTAAGCTCATATCCAAAAATCGAGGACCAATTTGAGATTACATAAATACATACTGAAATAACTTCTTGAAGCTGCACTATGCACCCTGCCCTGGGTCGAAAATGTCAAACCAACATTAGCACTTTGGGCGGCATGCATTCTTCCCGCTAACGCAATGTGCTAAAAATCCCCTACAGTCGTACTTGGTGACTGCCCAAGACAGAGCCATCCACTCTTCATTCTCACGCGCCCATCAGGGAGCAGAGCAGACCTCTAACAGAAGACCCTCCGAAAAGGGACCACCGCTTTGGCAGCTACCATTCCGAAAATCATCAACCCCAAATCCAGAATCCTGACGCCTGAACCCCCAAAACCTGGACCCTTACCATGGGTGCCGAAACTCCTCAACCCCCAAACACTGAACCCTACACCCTCTGCATCTCACGAACTCTGAACCGAAACCCCTCAATCCCAGTACAGGTCAGGTAGCAGCCCTCAAGTTGCCTGGGTCTGCATCCACGCACGCACGGCCTTCGCATCCCGGGAGAAGGTCTCCATCCTGGCAGGATTGCTTTGGGGATTCTAGAAGGACATGAAAGGAGGTTATATAGGGGCTTATATAGGGAATATAGGCAATATAGGGATAATGGAAAAGAAAATGGAAACTACTATTTAGGGTTTAGGGTTTATTTGGGAGTTTCCCAAAATTAGAGGTACCATTTACCCCTATAATGGAGAATCAAATGGAAAAGAAAATGGAAAATGAAATGGAAACTGTGTTTATATAGGGGTATATAGGGATTAGGGTTTCCCAAAATTAGGGGTACCTTTCTGGGGGTGTCTATGATAAGGACTATAATATTTTGGGGTCTATATTGGAGTCCCCTTATTTTGGGAAGCTACCACTTGGAGGTTCGTGGAACTTAGTAACTACATGTAACTGGTCTTGTAATCCTGCGTATAGTTGGAGTAACCGGTTAACACCTGTAAGGCCACCCGCAGCCCAGTCAGAAGTAGTTGGATAGAACGTGCCATAAGCTACTGGTTGGCAATCCTCCTTGAATGAGGATTGTAAGCGCTTGGGCTTTTTTCGGATTCCCCAGTTCTTGAAAGTGTCCATAAGTACTACAGGCAGTGTGTGTCGCACCCTCTAGGCATGATAAAGGGCAGATCTCTTGCACCCGGCCTCTCGAACTCATGACTCCTGAATCCTAGATGAACCATTCTGGTAGAGCAGGCCAAACCGGTGATGTGGAAATAAGCTGCGAGATAAATGAACCCTCATCGACAACTCGCAAAGCACAAACGCAGTCAAGAACAAGATGCACGCATCACACTTTTTGCATGTGCTGTGGCAGGCGGCGTTTGGCGTCCCTGCTGCCCAGTCGCCTAAAAGGGCAACTGTCAGCGGGCGCGAACACCATAGGTGCGCCGCCTCCACACCATTCAATTGCGCACCGAAGCCCTAACAAAGCCCATCCCTCAGTGGCCCATGTAAGCAACGATCAAGCAAGTCCGCGAAGATGGCATCCCAGTCCGCCTCGAGCAGGATCCAGCCAGACTTTCTGGCAAAGGTGTCGTCTCCGCGACTGACGGCATCGCTGATGTTGGCGGAACTCGCCACACGTTGCCACTGCGGCTGAAGTCGATTGGCTTCAATCCAGCACCACGCTGCCTGCAATAGCTTGTTGGCTGCGCTGTCCTTGCTGTAGCCCTTCACCAAGGCACGACGGGCAAGCTCATTGTCCACGAAAAGGATGATGTCGTGGTAGAGAAGCTCGCGCAGCGCGAAGAAGGGCAGGACTTGGGCAATGATCTCCAGCATGTAGATGTACGCTCTTCGCGAGGAGAAATGCCTAGCGAACCAGTCGGGAACACTCCCCATTGCGTACCAA